AGGGCAATAACTAGTGATGGGAATAATCGAATGATTTCGATAATCGAGTAATTATTAGTAATTGAGATATTCACTCGATTAAAATAATCGAAATATTATTTCGTCATGGTCGAGATATTCATTCGATTAAAATAATCAAAACATTAAACATTATTGATTAAAAATCAACCAATATTCAATTTATTAATACAAAATTAAAAACATGGTTAATACAAATTCATAATTACACTTTTTTTTTTATTATTATTGATCACTTTATCGCGTTAATCGTCGTCATTGTATGCACTATGTTGTATAGGTGTCCAATCTAGGTGATATTCTTAAGTCTAAGAGAAAGTTTCAGAATCATATACGATATCTAATTCCATATAATATAATTATCTATAATAACTGATGATAGTTAAAACTCAATATCATAATAGAAAATTAGCTATAAGTAGATTACAACTTTTAACTTTTGTAGGTAAGGATCTCGTTAGAGACGTATTATAGTGACAGTATAACATTATACGTTATTGTGAGTAACTTTATTTCACCTTCTTCAACAAGTCGTTAATTTTAATTATACAATTATTCAAGTATATTTTAAGTAAGTACATAATTATATAATTTTTGACTAATTTAATAAAAATTAATTAAGAAGAATAATTGCAATAACATTTTTGTGTTCTATCGTTCTAAGAATTCAAGTGTAAGATCAGATATTTTTAGTTAACTGACGAGTAGAATAAAATAATACTCAAATTACTAGTATTTTATTAGTAACTACTAACTACTAATTAAATGTAATTACTGCTATCATTCGATTATTTTTCCTAATTAAAGAGTTACTCGATTATTCCCATCACTAGCAATAACCCAGCACGCAAGTACGTCCCCCGCCGCCAGACGCGGAGACAAACGCAAGTAACTTACTTCTAATAAAGCGAGAGAAAAAAGATTGTAAGGGACGGCGCGAACGCAGTCCCAGCTACCAAAAATTATGCGTCCGAGGTATCCACATTAGGGATACTCGCAGGGGTCAACCCAATCGATGTGCAATGATCGGGCCTCACCCTGGAGGAACCGCCTGATTGATCACGGTTGACCTCCACGCCAGGTAAGTATGCTAGTTCGGCCTGCTGGCAGACCTTATATGACATCCAAGGTTCGGCCGACATAAGCAGAATGCTAAATTTTACGTCGCGAGTTCCCTCACCGGGACTGTGACCACAGACTCGAAACCGTGTCCAGTACCTTTGTTGGCAAGACCATATCGTCCGAAAGAACCGATAACATCGTTTTCAGGGCCCAGAAATCCCAGTTCCGAGCTAATGCCCATCGGCCGCCGACCAGTTCCAAGCGATCGCTGATGGCCGCGCTCTCTAACGGCCGACCGCGGCGACGAAGACATCAGCTCATTCAGCTCCGAAACGGTTCGCGTTTATAGTACACGCAACGACAGCCGCCCTAACTCGGCAAAATGTCAGTACAATTGAATTCAAATATTATAATAACTCAATATCCGGACATCCGATAAACGACGGTGACGTGCGTCCAGTTCGAAACTGATTTAGTGAGACACACCGAACTATGTAATCAGCTCTGCTCGTGCAATTCGCGATGTTCGCATAGAGTACCAAGTATGATAATAATGTGCTGTAATAGTGAAATGGCTGCACGGGTAATGTGTACTATAATAATGACAAAAATTAATTATTTTAATATTTTAATACGACTGTAAATGTCATAAACGTTTTTAAACGTGATTTTCACGGTCTTCCGTCGAATATCGCGGCAAACATATCGTTCGATAGATGTCGATACACGTAGCGACGTATATTGTGCAGCCATCTAGTGGCAGAGTGGGAAACCAGTGTCCAAGCAAAACGTTTTTCTGGTAACATTCTCGATTTTTAGGAAACCGACTTTCATATTCATCGTGCGCCAACGATAAATATCCGCTAATTTGTATAGGCTGAAAGTCTAAAAACGTAATTTAATTTAATTAATCAACACTTTAATTGAAATCAAATGGAATCGATAACTTATGTGTCATTGAAATATATTAAATTGTGAAGAATTATTTTACTCTTCACGGTCAATCTAATTGTTATTTTTAGTAACTGTTATAGGTAAATTATGCCTATATCTTAAATATGTAATTGAAATCCAAAAATGTAATTCTATTGCAAAGGGGCCTCTATTTGCAGAGGTTTCTACAAATATTTCCAGTTTCATAATATAATAAGTGTATGGAAAATGTTCTACGTGATTGTACTGCCTAGTGCCTAATAATAATATCATCCAACATTTGATATCCTTCAAATATACATTTTTACCCAACTCAATCACATTAATGCTCGCAAGTTGACAGAATATTGAATATCACAATGTATCATACAAGTGTAACTTTCTGATCAACAAGAATGCAAAAACAGCAAACACAGACATGCACAGACCTCTCTGGTAGGATTGGGGACAGAACTAGAGGAAAATAATTTAATAAATATCAGTTACAGTTCAACTTATAAGATTGCCTTGTATTTGCAGCAATTTATACATTATATTTTTAATGCCTACTTTATTTGAAAAAAAAACATCTAGGAACAGCTACAGCTGTCCATCCTACCACTCCTATTCACTCACCTATGATTGCAAAAACTACTTTATAGTTACTTTGTAACTACAGATGCTACTCTCTTCAAAAATGCACTTTTTCACAACTCAAAACAAAGAAAAATATTCAGTACAGGTGGATATAACAACCAGATTAGTGTGCATTATATTATAATATAAGAAACAAGATAAATCCAACAAACTACAAGAAACAGAAATATCTGATGGTTGGTGCAAATATTTGTCATATTTTATAATAGGTAGGTAATAACTAATAATATAAGTATTAGCGAGTATGTATATATTCCACAACTGGATAATATTAAATATAGTCTTGATTTATTTAAAATTATAGAATTTGTTTTCATGAAAAAAAATGATGTCTAGGAAATTATGGGAAAAAACATATAAGTCCATTTCAGGTCAAGTTCATAGGCATAATACATGAATAGAATATAGATGAGCCAACAGTCTATACATAATAATATATTATATTACATACAAGTCCAACATGACAGTATATTTCACAGAATTCAATGTTGTAAATAAGTAGGTATAATTTTCAATAAAAAAATCCAAACCAAAAGGTTGTCAAAAAGATTGTATCAAAAAGATCATCCTAAAAAAATTTCAAAAAATGGACTTGTCTGAATTTTCCAGCAAGCACTTCAACGAGGATAATGACTTATATGGCAATGAAAAAACTGAACAAGTCGTCGTTTACTTATTCTACTGTCTACTAATCAACTAAAACATTTTAATAAAAACCGAAAAACTAAAATAATTACTACAAACTTCAATCCGCCGCCGAAAACGTTCGCAACGATTTGGCGGAGACTGATAGCGAGACCTGTGGGCTGTGGTCGACGGGCGGCTGTCCAAAACACGCAAATCACAGCCGGCAGATGGCGCCGACGAACATCATCGTATTGAGACGCGGGCGGCCAATAGGCCGTGGCCTGCGTTCCGGCCGCGGGAAACGTACACAGCTTGTGGCCGGAGTTCCGAACGCCGTGGCCCAGAGCCGGGAACGCGGTCTGGGGTGCAGTTTGCAGTTTTCGGACCTGAAGCCGTTAGCTCTGTGCGTCATTATCGATGATGCACCGTGCACTTCCGCAACAGTCCCGCGGAAGCCTGCCGTTATAAGTACGACGTCCGTGCACCCGCGCGGCATACTTACTTGGCGTCGAGGTTAACCGTGATCAACGAGGCGGTTCCTCCAGGACGAGACTTGCCCATTGCACACCGGGCTGGTTGACCCCTGCGAGTATTCCTAATGCGAATACCTCGGACGCGTAATTTTTGGTAGCGGGGATCGCGTTCGCGCGTCCCACCTAATCTCTAATGTGGAAAATAACAAGCTTATTAATAGTTGACATCTTGGAAACAATACTATCAATCAAATTCAAATAATGCAGTGCAACAATGTGCTCACTAAATACCTCTTTCATAACAAAATATTACAATTGTTAAACTTGGGTTGGAAATCACAATATATACTTCATAAGAGTTATCACGAAAGTACAGATAATACAATAATATTTATAAAATAACGTATTTTCGTTTCCCTTTAGTCGTGGTATGTTAATAGAGGGAAAAAACGAGGTGTAGTTGGGTTACTATTTAATTTTCACCTGGTTAATACATTATAGTTTAGTATACCTAGTGATTGCTGATTGCGCATCTTTAAATAACTGTTTTGTTAAAAATATACTAATCATTCCTTTTTGATCCACGATCTAACGTATAACTTGTTTCTACCTTTAGTTAATTTGAGAGAATACCTATCGATTCATATAAACATAATATTATTATTGTCTTAAACAATTTAATATCTATCTAAATGTACATTTTTTTTTCTAAGTCAAATAATAATGTGATGTATTAATAATAATCTGATAAATTACACCTTAAAAAGTATTATCCTCTAGAAAAATCATGAAGAACGATTTTATGTGAATACGTTTAATAGTCGCAAGTGGGTCTTAGAAAAATAATAAAAATATTCAGTGACATATTATACATCAAACTAACTGGAAATATCTGAGTTGTTACATTACATCCCTTAACTAATTATTATATTATATTGACTAGAAAATTAAATAAAATCGTTTTTACAAAAGTCGATGATTAACTATGTAATATCCAATTCGAAGATGATATTATTGCTCTGCAACATTGTCAATTTATTTTTTAAAGATAGAAATTAACAATTATAGTAGTAATCAAATATTAGAGTTTACATAATTTCATAAGCAATTTTACTGCACAGTTAAATAGAAATAGTTGAACAAATTTTTAGACACTTATTTTATGGCTTGCCATAATTTATTAATGACCATAATAATGTTATATATATTTTAAATGATTAAAAGTAGTATTTTTCAGCATTAAAATGGCAATTTGTATGTTACTGAACTTTATTTCAAATAAACATGTAATGACACTAGTGACTAGTGCAAATATTCGTAATATTACCAATAAGTCTTTTTAATACTAATGAAATACAAAACTTCAGCTCATGAATTACATCTAATATAAATATATACATTATGTTACTCACAAGATATTTGTCAATTATTCTTAAAGTAAAAAAAAAAATATATTATGTATTAAAAAAATAATTATGGGCAGTATCTATATTTAACACACAAAATACTTTTTCTAGCTCTTTTCAAACACACAGCTTCAAGCATTGTTGTCCATGAACTGCACATCTGACATGAGGTAAATTGTTTCGGGCAGAGGTTTTGGTTGAGGTGATAATAGAGTTAACATTTGTCGTGAGGTGTCAACATTTGTTCTAAAGAGATATAAAAAAATGTATTAAAATAGTTGTACATTTAGCTGTTGTAATATATTAAGTGTTTCCAAGCAATACTTACACACAGACAAAACCAGCAACACTAGTCCTAACAACGTCTTCTTCTACCATTGTACTGAAACTCAGAGCTAACACATGATGCATCATATTTGGCCCTGTAAAATTTGTCAAAAGTATTCTCATTAAATAACACTGTATGCAATGGACTAGTTGATTTTGACATTTACCTGGAGTAACAGGTTCAAGTTTTGTCTCTAAATCAGTTTTTTGCATGTCTAATGGCATCAATGTATTAGGAATAGGTGGTGCTCCAATTCTGTATACTTTTATGTCGGAAAACCTAACTTCACAGGTGTGTGGATGTAGTACATTTCTAGGAGTACCGTAAAAGAACTCTCGAATCCGTGCCTCTCTACCTTCCAATCTAAACTTATTACTCCTTTCAACTACCTAATTATAAAATAAATCAAATTTATAGCAATACATCATAATATAATTGTAATATACAATACATTTTTTTTAAATGTGTACAAATTTAATATGCTAAAATCTTTAATACAAATTCAAAATAAGTTAAATTAAATTTTTCTACATGACAATGATTAAACTAAATTAACTTTTATTTTGATTAAACATTTTTGAAAATATTCCATATTATAACTGTTAGTATAAAATATTTTATTTTATTGTTACATTATTTATGATCACATTGACAATATTCCAATTTTTATAAGATAAGTCTTAACCATACACTAAAGAGTGTCTTATATTTATGTTACATGCCAGAACTGACTAAGCTGCCAGGTTATAAAATAAGCTGCCTAGTCAGTTCTGGTATATAATACTAGGATAGCTAGTAAATTCAGAGCAGTGTATGTCGTACCGCAGGAGGCGATCTATAGTATTTATAATCAATACTTTTACAAATAAATTTTCATTTAATACATTCAAAAAAAAAGAAAAACTTGTCAAAGACAGAATTTATTGCAACACACAAAAATATTCACTTTGGTTGCTTTTCTTTGACAGAAATAAATATTATTTTATATACTGTAAGCCAGGACCAACAATAATAGTTCACATCTTGTTTTTTTATAGATTTGATTTATTTGGGATCCTTATTAGGAAAGTTTCACTGCAATAACAAATAACAAGTCTCATTGTGACTATAGCGGTTTAACACTGGATGTTCTTATTTCTACATAATTTTTCCCTCTACAAGACAAATAATATAAGTAGGTCTGCCCAACACAACTTAAAATCATATAAAGGCGATCACAACTGCCAAAAAACAAGCATTTTCTTCTGAATAATTTGGGATTTACCCTTAAAAAGAAAAATATCTGACTATTCCATTGAGAATTTTCCATGGTATTTTATCGAAGATATAAAAGTGGGTGGGTGACAAATTCAAATTTTTCTTAAGAAACAGATATTTTAGAAATGTATTGTAAAATCCATATAAAAAGTAAATCCTACAAATTTATGTTGAAGGGAATTGGTTTGTTGACCTATGCTTAACGCATACAATTTTATTAGACCAAACTATTCATATTATTTTGTCTTGCAGCCTATTATAAAGGTAAACAGAATTAACCAACGAGTAACATAACATAATAATAATCTTATTAGTTATACATACTCCACCACTTTTTGGTAAAAGAACAACTTTGACAAATACTGGCATATCTCTCACAAGTTCGTTGTATAATCGTTCTTGATCAAGCACAAGAATAACATCAACTTCAAAAGCAAGTGCAATATGAGTCAAATGCTGGTAACCTTTGCCTTTTACCCAACCGCATGTGTTGATTATTAATCCAGAACAGTTAACTGCAAAAACATAATTATAATATATTAATTACTAAGTATATATTCTTACACTAATTATCACAAAAGTACAACATAGAAAAAACTATTTTGGGCGGGACAACTACATTACCACTGTATTTATAGCAGAATTGCTAAAATTCCACTATGCATAGGGAAGAACTTTCTGTTTTGTAGTTTTTATTTTTTTGACAGCCCTAACCAATAATTTAATGAAATAAAACAAATAAAACAAATAAAACCTAATATTCTTAAATTGATAACTTTTACTCTACCTATTTATGTTTTCAACATTTTAAAAAGGCTACGACACAGATAAAGTTCTTCCCCATCAATTGTGGAATTTTATTTAACTTATTTTACTGTAAATATAGAAGTTATGCCGACAAAACAGCTTTGCTATGTTGTACATACAACACATATGGGTGTAGTGTCCTCTTAATAAATATTTACATAATATGCTTTTAAATAATTTTTCTAAGTATATAATAAATATAATGATATAAAAAAAATATTCAAAAGTTCAAATAATATTTAATGGATAAAAATTACTTCTAGGATTTTCATCCATTCGTTGATGAATAACTTCTGCCATACGAGATATTAGAGTGTTGTACAAAGTTGAATTAATACTCATGTTTGTATGCCCATAATGATAGACTAGTGGAGCTGCTTGAGAGAAACTTTCTTCTACTTCAGCTGGTCTTTCTACCATGACTGCTCCTATAAATTATTGTTTTCATTAGAACTATTGTCAATTATGATTTATAATGAATTTAAAATAATAAAATCTATACAAACCAATTGTTCCTGGAACTGATATTTGTCCCTGACCCGGATCCAAGTCAACATAGATTGGTCTACGACCAAGAGCATTCATTCGTGCACTGTAGTTCAGTAATATTCTACAAAGAGTAGATTTACCCACATCAGTTGGACCGACCACCATTGTAACAGGACCTCTTATCTTTTCTTTTTCTGATTTTACTCTGAGTTGTTCTAATGATGCATGGCAATTTAAATAAAACATCTAAAAGATTAGACACGGTTAAAATATGTACACAGTTGTTCCTCCAGCTGATAAGTATTAAAATATACTAGCTATTTTTCAATTTCTGACTCTCAACAATTATTTTAAATTTTGAATGAAGCAAAAAATAAATGGCTAAAATAAATTGATATACCATTTAATATGGAAAAATGTATCTTTAAGAGGAAGACATTGCCTTTGTTCAGTCTGATCTTGGTGCATTATAGAATAGTTGCGTTCAATACAACCAATCATGTGTTGTTAGCTTTAATATAAGAGTTAATTGAAGTTAAAAGAAATTATTTCTGTAAGGCATTGGCTTTTTATAATATTTTAATTTTTGTATAATACATACAAGCATTTAATGTGTAATATTTTACATACTTATAAGCAGGACTTGTAAGTTCATGCATCTGCATATTTTTTTTGCTACACAGAAAAACACGCTAAATGAGATACAAATCCATTTTATAACAATAGTAATAATAATATGAAGTTTAATAGTGCATGTTTTTGCATGTTTTGGGTGTAAAGGCTTATTTAGCATACAATCGTTTTTTTAGTTTATATTTTTTAGAAAAATATTTGAAATGTTTCTTGTTTCTTATTTACTTTCCCGTTTACTGAATGATAGTGTTTTGATTTATTTTTATTTTTGTGTGACTACTTAGTATTCTAGTATTATCCTATTTAGATTGTATGCATTTTACTTAGTACCGAGGAAACAATTTTATCGCTACCACTACCATCCTCCGCCGTCGAAACGATACCTGTACAGGCATGTACACGTGTACAATGTTTCTTACCAACCCGCATCTACAATTCTGTTCACTGGTACAGCATGGTTTTCTTGCACACGCCAGTCGCCAATGAGTTGTTTAAATGTACGAGTCGTGAAAATGTCAAATGACTAATATTTCATTCCAAATGTTTTCACTGTAGGTGCAGGATAATGGTGTACAAAAATTAGACAGAAAATGACTACCTAATTAAAATTGATAAAGATGACAAATCTATATGATCATATGAACTTCACAAGTATTAATTTTATTAATTTTGATTATTAAATGTATAAAAATTAAAAGGAATAAAATACTTTTAAAATTAATGGATTTATTCTTATTATTTTAAAATTTATAAATTTTTTACATAATGCATATTATTTTAAGTGCATAATTTAAAAATGTAAGGGCATTTAAATGCATATTTTCGAACTTTTTAGTGCATATTTTGCCAATTTTTAGTGCATGAGTGCATGCTTATTTGTGCTTTTTTTAGTGCGTGAACTTAAGAGCCCTACTTATAAGTCATAAAATGCATCAAAATGTAAATATTATAAAAAAATGAACAAACAAACAAGGGTACTGTTTTAAACTTCAAGTTTGAAAATAATGTTATTCACATTTATTATTAAACCTAACTTCACAAAATAGGTTCTACTAATCTACTGAATGCAAATTTAGTATGCTTACATTATACATGCATCAGATAGAAAACAAAGAATCTGCTAACACCCTCTTAAATTTAAGATTAAACAGAAATATATCCATTTTGATAAAAAGATTTACCAATAGATAAATTTAATTATTTATACATTTATTATAAGTTGACCTTACAATGAAATTGTTAAGTAAATTTGAAGAAAAATGCATAATAATATGTATGTGAGTAAATGTTTTATAAACAATTGATTCATTATCATACATAAACATCATAATATAGTAAAAATGAATAATAAATAGTAGAAATTATAAATCTCTATTAAGTATATTATTTTAAAAATATCATTATTCTCACCATAGGGGTCTCTTTGGATATATAACTAATTCCTTTTTTTCCTCGTAATTTTAATGAACACCCTTGCCATGTAAACACTGCAATTTTTGCACCAAAATAAAATGTATACGATTTGCCTTTCACTAATTCTGTTCCAAAAATTTCTGCTAGTCCAGTTTTCAACTAAAAAAATAAAACAATCACCATAAATATATTTTTTTTTTGTTGATCAAAAAAGACATCGGCAACAAAGGCCATTAGTCATATAAGTTACATTGATTACATTTTTCAATGAATAATACTACATATTTTATATATAGGACTATAGAAGATACTTACTTCTAACACAACTGTTTCATTTTTGTTTTCGACTTCAAACCTTAGTTCATTGTCAGGTTCCAATTGGAATTCCTGATCTTCAATTTGAACTTCTACACTCTCTGACATGATTAAAGTCTTTGTTTATTCAATACTTCAAAGCACTGAAAACACACACAAAAACACAATTAAAATCAGAGTTTTAAATATAACAAGAAGATAAACAAATCGCTATTGCCGATTAGGCCAATTCTACTGAAAGACACAAATTACCTAAATACCCAAACAAACATCTTAAACAATTTGGTCCATTAATTATATCAAAAATAGACTTACAGTAAAGGCTGATCATAACACAAAACTTATTGAAGTTGAATTTTTAACTAGAGTCTTCCATACACAGTTGAAGTAAAACAAACAAATTAAAAAAGTTTAAATTACTCTTTACATCAAAATTTTAAGTTTAAACAGAAGTTAGGAAGCTCAAGCTCGTAATACGTCTATCGATAGCTATCAAAAATTAATCTGTTATCACTTATCAATGATCAGAGTCAAGCGTGTTTTGTTTATTTTGCAGTTTATACTTTATTCCATGACCCATTTTTTTTTCCAATGGCGGCAATTGATTGTTTTTGAATTTATTATTTACAATGATAGTAGGAAATTAAGGAGTCTCGCTACCGCTATTATTTAAAGGACAACATTTAGGCAATTTATTTATTTTTTTAAGACAACTTACTCATTGTTTTTACAGAATTAAAGTGAGTTCAAGTTGTCTGATTTTGATTCTGAAAAAATATTTGAATTCAGCAAAAAAATGTCTGTTGATAGTACGAAACAACGAAATACTTTCCGTTTTTAATTTTAATTATAATTTAAAAAGTTCATATTTTTAAGCTTTTAATTACCCTTTACAATAATATAAGATTTGATTTTTACAAAGTGTTCCGTACGATCCATAATCAAATGTCTATCAAATTCAAATTTTTTTCAGGGTAAGAATTGGACAGCGTAAACTAACTGAAATTTTGTCAAAACCAAATTTCATTTGAAGTAAAATTGACGGCAGTAGCGAGAACATTGGAATTTATTGTCTTCGTCTTACAAATGCGTAACGAAGCAAATACAAGTGCAACAGATTAAGTGTAACTTCGTTATTATAAAAATTAGAGTGAATAAACCTATCATAAAACTTGGAGGTAAGAACATAGTCTGTTTGCACGTGAGTTTTTTACGACAGTTCAATATTTTAGTAAATTTTGCTTATATAATATACTGTAAATCAAAAATGATCTAACTCACTTAAAAATTAAACTATCGCTAGACGGAGACAACAAATGTTAGTGTTATGTCCTCTTAAAGAAAATATCAAATTTTTTTCGTTTTCGAAGTAATTCTTATCGACCATATACATTATACTTTAATTGATCATCTTAATCCATGCTTAGCATATTTTTTACACGTTAACAAAAATTGTTTAGTTTACATAACTCAAAAGGGTTGCCAACAATTTTAATATGAGACAATATATGCCTAAAAATGTTTGATGTGAGTAATAATACTATGAAGAACAAAAAATGGAAATTCTAATTTCTAACTCAATAAATTAAATTAAATCACTCTTTTTGAAAGCCTTTTGCAGTATTGGTGTAAGAGATTTCTGTAATTGATTATTAAAATGTTAAAATAATGAACCTTTAATGTATTTTGTATTTTTGTGTACTGAAGCACTACCTAAGATACCCAAACTCCTGAAGCATATACTACATGGAAAAGTTCCATTCTTTTATGAGCATGTTTATTGCTTGTCTAATTTATGGTATAAAATAGAAATAATAATAATGTTTAGTGCATAGTTAATTATTAAAGTCTTTTAACTCATCGACTAATCAATTTCACAGGTAGCAGTAATATAAAATAACTAAGTAAGTTTTTTGTATTTATTGTATAAAAACAATAAATATCCAATCTATGAAAAGTAAATAATAATGAATAACTTAACATATTTAACAACAGGAATTTGAATTTTGAAAATTATAATTTACACGCACAATAATTGGATAACTAAAGGTGAATAATATAAAATAAATAAGCCACATAATGTATTGTATTGCATTGCTAGGTATATTTTAGACAATTATGCATCAGTCAAAGCTGCAACTCCTGGTAACACTTTTCCTGAAAAAAAAATTTAAAAATGTTTTAATAAATCAAAATATTATTATTATACTATTATATTTCTAACATTTTTATTACATAATTTGAAATTATTACAAAACAACAGTTTTTAGAGAACAAGTTTTTTTTAATAATTTTTGAATTTATAGGATGACAATATATTATTTTTAATTTCATATTCTTAATTCAATTTAATATATCAAAATTCTCAGAAAAATATTTTACTCTTGAATGAGAACTTAAACTAGCATGTTGTTGATTAAAAAAATAAAACATCGCTAACATATTTTATACTTAACAATAATAGTTAATACTTAATAATATAAATAGGCCTACTATATCCAGTTTTGTATATTTCTAATACTTTTGACAAAACTTACCTTCAAGTAGTTCAAGACTTGCACCACCGCCAGTGCTCACGTGGCTTATTTGACTCTCTGTTCCCCATTTAGCTGCACATGTAGCAGTATCACCACCACCAATTATAGTGACAGTTCCATTTTTAGTTGCCTTAACAACATCATCCATCAAGGCCTTAGTGCCAAGGGCAAATTTATCAAACTCAAAAACACCAGCAGGCCTAATAAAATAAAGAATTTATATATAATATATTCATGTACAAAAACCGAGAAAAACGTTAAAATATTTCTTATTAAGCTGGCACTACATACATTTGTTGTTCCATCTTTCAAGTGCCAAACATGGGAAATTTACATTTAGCAGATCATGTTTAGTTGCGTATTTTAAAAATTAGTAATTTACCTCTTAAAAAATGTAAATGTAAGATTATTATAACTATAAACATTTATATTAAAATTATAATGTAATGGTTATAATTAGGGCTCGGGACTTCTAGGAGTTTGCATGTTTTTAAATAATCATTAAAAACATAGCTAAGTAAAATAGAAATTTGTTTCATAGCATTACAAGTTTATATTTAAAATTTATAGTTGCATATTTTTCATATTTGACCATATTTCATTTATAAGTGCATATTTGACCATTTTTCATTTTATTAGTGCATATTTGACAATATTATTTATACGAGGAGTAAGTTTTTAGTTTTATAAAAAAAATTTTATTTTAAATAGATTTCCTGGACCGGATATAAATATTTAAAAATTAATGTTTGCGTTTTTCTTCCCTATCATTATAACTGTATTGTTATTTATCAGTATACCACACTCGTGATTCCCGATATGGCGATATGTGATAAGCCGATAATGATACCAAAAAAACATTTTATAGACTATGACTAGTTGTAGATAGAGGCCAGATGGTCCCTTGAATAGTAATAGTTGACAGTTGGTGTTGTGCGTTCTTCGTATTTTGGTTTCGTAAAGTGTTTATTCTTTCGAGTGAGCCCATAATAAAATAATTAAAAAATGCCTAGCTTAACGATTTTATGAAAGAATATAATTTTTTTTAAATGCATATTTTAATAGCATATTTATTGATTCTTTAGGGCATAAATGCATGCATATTTTAAGGTTTTTAAGGGCATGAAGTCCCTAGCCCTAGTTATAATTATTATTATTATTACTATATTTATTACAATTTATATTGAATATTATATTAAATAAATAAATAATCTAAAACATTTCATAGGCTTTTTATTATATTTTAAAGTGAGTTATGGGTATCTCAAATGTGTAAATTGTTTGCACATACTGAAATACTCAAATCTCACACTAAAACATGATAAACAGCCTATGACATGCCCTAGATAATAATTTTACAAGAGGTCGGTTGACTCTAATTTTTAAACTTACAAAACTAAACGTGATCTTCTGGACGTTAAATTTGCCATGTTATGCACTTGTAAGATGGAAACAATAAATGTCTGTGTAGTGTCCCCTTATATTCATTAAAAGTAAATTATCTTTATTATGTTTAACCAATTTGTTAACTTAAAATTTACCTTTTAATAAATTCATAATTTCTTACCCATTCCATACAATGACCTTAGCACGAGCAATAGGTTCAGAAAACAATTTCCTAGATTCTGGTCCGCAGTCCAAACCCATCCAACCATCAGGGACTCCTTCTGCGACAGTTGCAGTACTAGTATTAGCATTTTCATCGAATTTATCAGCTGTGACAAAGTCAACAGGCAAGTGAATTTTAACATTGCGAGCAGAAGCTTTTTCTAATAATTTCCCAACAATCTTTGCTCCAGCTTCATCATATAGAGAATCGCCAATCTAAAATAAATTTATAAATTATTATATCTTTAATACTTAATTTGTACTATTTATTAAACATACTTTCATGCCCTTTGACTCTTTCAAGAAAGTATAAGCCATACCTCCACCAATAATCATTTCATCAACTTTATCTAAAAGATTTTCAATAAGTTGAATCTTATCAGCAACTTTAGCTCCTCCCAAGATAGCTAAGAAAGGCCTAAAATAAAACAAACATATAAATTAATTTCACTAAAAATTACATCAAAAATTTTAATTCATCCATTAAACTACATACGAATCTTGAATAAATATAAACAATAATTAGTAATAACATCAAAAAACTTTTTAATTTATTGTTTAGGATATTTCATAAGTATTAATCAATTTTTTTTAAATGCAAACCTATATTGATCTTCTCTAATGTGTTTGTATCATGATTTATAATGTATAATATATCAAAATCAAAACATTTAAACCATTATGTTATGTGAAAAATATAAATATTTAAATGATAACATAGTTATTTAAAATTTTAAAATCAAGTTAAAAATAATAATATATATACGTATTGTAAAAAACCTATAATCTACTCTGTATATCTACATGATCTTAACATATATTATAATTTAATGTAATAAAAATTATGAAAGCTCATTAAAATTCATCTGATTAAATAATAAGTTTGCTTACAAATATCTTCTTCATAAAATGATGAATAGTATTACAGTACAATTATGTAGATCAGAACTTATATATATTATTTTAATTTAAAAATAAATATTGATAGAGGGGCAGAAAAAAATTGATTTAATACCTTTCAGGATTATCCAAAGCCTTAGCGAAATAAGTGAGCTCTTTGTTCAACAAAATGCCAGCAGCACGCTTTTCAAAACCTTCACCCATCATAGAACTGTGAGCTCTGTGTGCAGTACCAAAAGCATCATTGACATACACATCCCCCAATTTCTGCAATGATTCCCTGAATTTTTTCACATCTTCTTTGTCTGCTTTAGCTTTTTCCCCAGCAGCATTTACACCTTTTCCTTCTTCTTCAATATGGAATCGAAGATTCTCTAAAAGAAATATTGAACCAGGAGCTGGATCTGCACAAGCCTTTTCTACTTCTGGGCCAACACAGTCAGACAAAAATGTAACATTCCTAGAA